CGTCAAGTTCAGACTCGGCGGTGCTCCCCGCTCCATGAGCTACCACGATTTGGCGACCGCTCTCGACCTCGGCCTGGACGATGATAGGGACTACGTCACCGAGCTCAACGATCCAGTGGGTGTTAACTTCAAGATGCTGTAGACCTGACTAGCTCAGCCCGGCCAGCGTCCCTTCGTTGCATGGCGGACGAAGGCCAGCACCCTGCAGCTCGATAACCACATTCTCCACCACATGCTGGCGAAGTCCTACACTCCAGCTGGGGACAGTGCCAACACCCTCACCAAGAGATCCATGTACTTCATCCAGTCCATCCGCCAGGCGAACCATCCTCTCCACCTGGGTTCTTTGGTGGCCAGGACGCTGGAAAAGAGTGCTTCACAACTGGGGACAGTCCATTGCACTCCCCTCATCACCCGCCTGGCCACCTACTTCCAGATCCAACTGCAGGGTTGCACAGAGCAGGGAGGCACTAGTGTTTTCGGCGAAGACACGATCAAGAATATGCACCTACTGCGAGTCGAGCGTGGCGTCAAGTGGATCGAGGGGTTTCATGCTCCTCAAATCCCAGCGGAGGACCAACCAGATGTTCCTGCGGATGAGGCCACTGAGGATGCCACCCCAAGGCTGTGGATGATGCTGCTGCCCCCCGCCCGACAACCTTCGAGTACGGGGGGTAGCAGTTCCACTTTCCCAGCCCAGGACTACTTCACTCACCAGTTCCAGCAGCTGAGTCTCCAGAATCAGCAACTCCTCGACCATCATCTCCAGTTCCAGCAGCAGTACTCGGCTCACCAGGCCGAGTATCAGACCCGGATGGCTGCTTATGATGAGCGCCTTAACCGTATGGAAACCCAGCAGGGGGTGACCCTTGCTCACATCGAGCGGGAGCGGGCCCGATCTTGGTGTATGTAGGAGGTCCAGCAGCACCTGCTCCAGCTGATACCGGGCGAGCAGCCAGTCTGGAGGACTCACTGGGAGGACTCTCCCCTTCCACCCTTGGCCGCTGGAGATGACAACTTCATGAACGACATCGACTTTGACAACCTTGGCGATGAGTAGTCTGTACTCGTCGCCCCTCAGCGTGTTTTTTGTTAAGACTTTTCATGTTTGCTCCATGTGTGTGCGGAGCTTGATCTGAGTCTGTCATTTGTTTTTGTTTTTGTTTTTTTCTTGTGGATTGTCTCTTTTGTGGCCATCTGGGCTAACTCTGATCCCTAACGCACAGTGTGCTAGTGTGTTCTTGATGTTCCCTTCGTGCAGAACTGTTCCGTTCGTTCCATATGTTCCCCGCTGACTGGTCCACTTCCAGTCTCCAGGTAGTAATTCCATCCGGTAACATCGTTCCCCTTATCTCTCCATAAGCTCCATTGAGGGCAATGTCGTGCTTTAGTGTGGGGGTGCTTTGTATCGATTGGAATCTATATATGTGTGCTTGGGGCCGAGTCCGCTGTCCAAATCTCAAGATTTGAGGGCTCCAAGTATCCCTGTTTGCATGATCATATTGGCACTGTGATTTGATTGGTGAATCGAATGGTTTTCGGATTATTGCATGACAACTTGATTGTGACTAGGACAACCTATGATGATGACTGAGACATGCAGTAGAATTGTGTAGGGGTTCAGTTTTTCAACTGTTTGCTTACCAACTATGACTTGGATTGATCACTTGCTCTTGACAGTCGTTTATGCATCTAGTTCAGGGAATCATAATGAGAGATAGAGCATATAGGTAGCCATGTGAGATTTGAGCCTGCTCGTTTCTTTCTTGTGCGATAGATTCCTCTTCCATGATGTGCAGCATTCACGTTGTTACTAGCTAAGATGATTGAGGCATAAGATTAGCCCACGACCAAATTGACTGTCCTGGTGTGTCATACCCCCTAGTCAGCCCCTTTGAGCCGCGTGTTATCCTTTCTTTCGGTCTACAATGAAGAATCACCCTTTTGCATCTCTTAGAAGGTTCCACAGAGTGGTTTTTGCATGTTCTCTGCTGTTTCTGCTAAAATTTAAGTGAGGGTTGGAGGTAGTTCTTAAAAAGATGGGGCATGTGTTTGAAAAAATGTGCTTAGGTGGTGTTCTCTCAAGAAATGAAAAAAAAAAGAAAAAAAGAGAGGAATGAAAGCAAAAGAGAGCCACCACCAAAAATCTGAAGAGTGCCCATTAAGTAGTGTTTCTTAGCAGTCTGGCTTGGAAATACTAACATTTATGTGACCTCCTTCGCTCTTGTGCTCTAGAGAATTTGAGTAATGCAGAATGGCAGAAAGGAAGTGCTGGTTTGATTGACTGTGATTGTGTTGGGTTGGGAATTGTGGAACCTTGTGCTATGAATACTTCCACCACCTAAAAGGTCTTGTCCAGGTTACTGTTGAAGTTGTTCATATGTTGATGTTTGAAAACCAATACGATTCATGTGTTATGTGCCTATGTGATTTGTCCCCAATGTTGGTATGATTGAAATATGTTAGCTTACCTTGTATCTGACTTGGTTTGCTTGGGGACAAGCAAACGGTTAAGTGTGGAGGAATTTGATGACTTGATATATACACATGTTTTTGTCCACCATTCTTTGAGTCTTATCTCTCGTGTTTTAGGCCGATTTCATGCTAGGTTGTTCTTGTTTGTGATATTTCAGGTCCTAGTACGTGAATGAAGGTTTGGGAACGAGTTCGGGGTCGATTGGATGAAGATCGGACGTTTGGCAAGAAGCTGAGGAAGCCACACGGGCACGCCTAAAACCCACACGGCCATGTGACCTGGCCGTGTGACACCAAATTGCAAGGGCAAGTCACACTGGCCTTGTAAGGGAACCCATGTGGCCGTGTGGAAATTCCAGGGAACTCACATGGGCAGCCTGGAAATCCACACGGCCGTGTGGTTGTGGCCATGTGGGATGGTTGAAGTCACTTAATCGAAACTCCGCGTTTTGACACTCACACGGGCAGCCTGGGAAAGCCACACGGCCGTGTGGTCGGGAATTTCTGGGTTTTAACCCAAATTCGAGCCAAAGGAGAGGGAATCGATTTTTTGGAGCAAAAACAGAGCCCTAGAGAGAGAAAGTGCAAAGAACATCTCCTAAGAGTGGTTTTGGAGCTGGGTTTCATCAATCAAGCTTGGAAATCATCCTTGGAGTGAAGATTGACATCCCATAGCAGATTCTTCCCATTGTTATGAGTATGACTGTTTTGTATTCTGTTTCCCTCTCTCTCTCTATGGAGTAGAACTCTCTCTCACTTGAGTATGAAGAACCCTAGTTCCATTTGTTAGGAATCTTGATTGTAATTACGTTTGGATTGTGATATTGCTTGATTATAATCGATTGGAGTGTTTTGAATGAGTCAATTGAAGTCTGATCAACTTTTATTGATTTTTGCTGCAACCTGAGATAGATAGAATCTGATTAGGTTGTTAGAGCCTCTCCAATCGGTAGTAGTGAATCGATTATACGAGAGTTAGTCGATTCACTACTTTGTACTGGAATCTAATTCCAATAATGGAGTTCTGTATTCATTGCCTTAGCGTTCTATCCTGGTGAAGACTAGTCGTCTGCCGGGTAGTTTGACTGAGAGTGCTTGGTCAGCTTAAGAGATTCCAAGCTACTGTCGGATCTTTCGCAGTATAATCAGCAGTAAAACAACCAAAAGTAATTACAACTGCGACCTAACTAAGAAGCTAGGGGGACTCATTCCCGAGTGACTCTCCCTTTGCTTTAGAAAACCGAACCATTTCCTGCTTTCTTACTGCTTTTAGTGAAAACCACAATCAATCGACTTAATTGGCTAGATAATAGATATTCACGGAGTAGGCAGTAGATCTAGACCGCGGTTTGATAATTAGAACTTGCCTCTTTACTGCATTTCCGAACTGCGATTACACTTAGCCGCAGTTTGGTGTTGTGTTTTAGCGTGTCAGACTACCATTAGTCGTTCCTTTCGAAACGAGGAAATATGAAATGTTAGTTAAAATAATTAAGAAGAAAATGGAAAGGATCTCCTGAGGGATTCTCCTTCAGCGAATAAAAAACTTAATAAACCATTCGTCCAGGAGGACATATAATATATATAGTTGATAGTATGCATTTGTTCATGCATCTTTTCCACTAATTTGAAAATCTCATAGTTTTCATGATGTCATTCAAGCAATCCTAATCAATCATGTCATAAGCTTTCTTCGTGACCAATTTTAACATCATATTCCAAATTGCCCCTTTAGATTGAATTTTAAAATGGTGAATCACCTTATACATATATATGATATTTTCCTCGATAATACTCCATTTGATAAGAACATATTACATTTCAGAACCCAAGCTAAAAATCCATTCTTTCAGCCTATAGGCCATGAACTTACATGGGATCTTTTATCCAAAATCGTCACAACTGATAGACCTGAATTAAGAAATGATCTCCTACAAGATCTCTCCACTTTATGAAAGAATTGTTCTGTTTCAGGAATTCTGAGCCGATTGATACGAGTCTACAAGATGTGTTGGGCTCAACTTCATTCAAAATGGGCTTCAGACCTGTTCAGAAGGTGCCAGTATAAGCCCACCAAGAAGCACGACCCAGTGAGTTTGGGCCTTTAAACGCCTTGGCATCACATCTCCGACTCCGACAGACGTATCCAAAATTTCTTCACCAGACGCTATTGTTTATTGTATACTGCCACCCACCAAAGTACGATTCCAGTTCATCAATCACGCTATTTTAATCAGAAGGCAAAAGGGCAGCCAGCAGACAGAAGAATTTCTCGCGATCTTCAAGAACACAACCACAGAAGGAAGCCAAAAACATCCACCACACAATGCGACGATTTTACATACAACGATTTAACGTACCCAACATTCACCAGACGCTATTACATATACAACATCAAGCGAAACACAGAAAAACCTTTGGTTACACTAAGTAGAAAATAGTGATGAGCAACACTATATATTACTTAAACAGGCTCTCGGAGCTCCGTCCATAGAATAATAAGTAGAAAAGAGTGATAATGGTTTTTAAACAGTAGTGTCTCCGAGCTGCTGGCCGTCCTTACGATGGTCGACCAACTCACGTAAGGCAGCCTTGAAACCTTGAAGTTGACTCTCCAACGTCTCCACCTTCTTGTCCTTCTCTTCCACCAGCTTGCTCCAAAGCGACTCGCTCTTCTCCATCAATGCCAGTCTCATCTTGCATACCATCAGCTCCACCCTCTCCTCCTCCAGGCTCCGCCGCAGCTCCTCGGCTTCCTCCGCCTCTTTCACCATTCCTCCGACGTCCATCACGGTTTCTCCGTTGAACATGTCGAGCCTGTTCCACGCGGCGGAGGACGCGCGGATCAGGTCTCGAGGCACCGTCACGCCGTACTTGGACCAGCCGAAGCAATCGTTGATCCGCACCGCCCTGACGGATGGATGCTTGATTCCTGACATTATGCAGAGCCCGAGACGGTTCACATAAACGTACACATTGTTTCCTTCTTCTATTGCTCTGAGCTCACCAGCCAGCTCTCCCAATCGGCCTCCCTCGATCGTGACGCCGAATACTTGCAGTGCCTTGTATTGTTCAGATGAAGGGCCAACCGTACAGGTCGTAGGACCAGTTAAGAAGAATCCTCCCCGTCGGAATAATTGAACATCATTCAGAACAGGCGTGAACACGTTCACGTACTAACTTTCACCGGAAACCGGTGTAACGAATTAGTTGTCTGACGTCAAAGTAAACGCCGCTGCCATTCTTTATTATGTATGTTGCAGAAGAGGATCCAAGGGGACGGAGAGCTGAATTCAATGGAAGTGCGCAAGAGAAAAAATATACAGAGGGTGGTCTGGTCGATATTATGATATCCTGGGAGTAATTATTTATTAGCTAGGATGATATACATGCAGTAGAAGTGAAGTAAGTTGAAACGGAAGTAAGGGACAAGAATATATATATGCAAAGAGTTGGTTTTAATGATGAACTAACGAAAGGATTATACGAGATCCTAATTATCTATCACAAGTAACCCATTTGCATGGATGTGAAGTAATATGAAACTGAAGCTAATCACAATTAAGTAACCCATATGGATGGATGTGAAAGGTAAGAATGGGAATGAAGTAAGTCAAAGGTCCAAGAATATATGCAAATTTTGTTTTGCCTAGTTAACTAATGTTTCGTTTGGAAGTTGGATATGTTAAATCGTCGTATTGTTAATCGATGAAGAACAATTAAGTGAGGATAGCACATGATTAAGTGTGGGCCTCTTGAGCCATAATCGATGGTTTATAGCATCGATGATCTAAGAATCAAGTATTGATACTACTCGAGGTATAGATGGTTGATCATTCCCTCTATATGTGTGACACATCAATGAGGTATCACTAGATGGTATTTTCTTAACAACCTATATGATACTAAGAACAATGCATATAGTAGGACATGATAGAGAGAGTCATAAGTATCATTGATAAGAATAATTAAACTAAATGACCATCCATAAAAACACATAGGCATCGAAACATAAATTATCAATCCCTATTCTTACCTAAGGAGACTGTTGATTGTGATTGTTTATCCAAGCCCTTCACCTTACTATATTGATCTATGATGGATCCAAAAATAATAATATCATCTGTAAAAAGGTCATGGGTGGGGTGGGGTAGAGTGTGGTGTGGATAGTAATTATTGAGAGAAATTTCATTGAGACTACCATTAGTCGTTCCTTTTGAAACGAGGAAAGATGAAATGTTAGTTAAAATAATAAGGGTAAATACAATTTAATATTCAAACCTTTTATTTTAAACAATATAATAGCCAAATCTTTTCGAAAACAATCTAATATCCAAATCGTCAACTTTCCGTTCGTTTGATCGTTAGTTGACACTTCAAAAAAGCTTTGTTTAGGGGAAATTGTCACAATACAACTTTGTTTCTTGTTTGGCATTGCAGATGACTGAATATTTAGATATTCTATACCATCATGTGGAGTCATGGGCTTCTCGGGTTTGGAACTACGATATGCTGGTGGTTTTTCAGAGAAGATATCGATGGATATTTATGAAGTGTCGTACGTCGTACTTTTTTGAAGTGTCAACTAACGGTCAAACAGACAGAAAATTGACAATTTGGATATTAGATTGTTTTCAAAAAGGTTTGGCTATTATATTGTTTAAAATAAAAGGTGAAAACGGAAAGGATCTCCTGAGGGATTCTCCTTCAGCGAATGAAAAACTTAATAGACCATAATTCATTAGCCTTCTACTCTATCTTTGTGGGTAGGGGTGTTCAAATTGGTTAATTGGTTTCATTGGTTAGGAGTGTTGAAACCAAACCAAACCACCTAAACCAAATAAGCTAAATTGTTTAACCAAACCAGACCAATTATCCAAATTAACCTAACCAAATTAACCGAATACTACTGGTTAATATGGTAACCACGGTAACCAATCCGTTCAAACACCCCTAAGACCATTCGTTCAGAGGACATATAATATGGCTTATAGGATGCATTTGTTCATGCATCTTCTATTCTTCTCCACTAATTTGAAAACCTCATAGTTTTCATGATGTCATTCAAGCAATCCTAATCAATCATGTCATAAGCTTTCTTCCTGACCAATTTTAACATCATATTCCAAATTGCCCCTTTAGATTGGATTTTAAAATGGTGCATCACCTTATACATATATATGATATTTTCCTCGATAATACTCCATTTGATAAGAACATATTACATTTCAGACCCCAAGCTAAAAATCCATTCTTTCAGCCTATAGGCCATGAACTTACATAGGATATTTGATCCAAAATCGTCACAACTGATAGACCTGAATTAAGAAATGATCTCCTACAAGATTTCTCCACTTTATGAAAGAGTTGTTCTGTTTCAGGAATTCTGAGCTGATTGGTGCGAGCAGGGGCGGAGCCAGAACAGACCAAGGTGGGTCGGCTGCACCACCTTGGCTCTGCAACACACTGGCATAAACTGCTTTTATTTGTGATTTCATTGCTGGGTTTATTTGTCTCTGTTTTTAATGTTCTTCATAATCTAACCTGCAGGGGAGACTTTGATCGAGCAGACCATCTGTCAGGGAATTTAGTTTTGTTATTGATACGACATAGTTTTATAATTTGCTTGGACTTATAACATTTATTAATTGCTTTAGTTTCTGTGCAGGCCTTTTACTTAAAGAGGATTGGGCTTCGTTTAAGTTAAGCATGGACTGGCATTTAAGAATTGGGCTTAAATTAGTCTAGCCCAAGAGACAATTTACTTCTGCCGCAGAGAAAAGAACGGAACTATTTTGGTCACTTCATTTTGATCGGAATGGGATTAGGTGCTAACCCTTATAGGGGTTAGCACCGTGATAACTAGCAAAAATCACTACGGATTATTATAAAATCAATACAACACCTAAGCTAAATCACTACTAATTCAAACTAGTAGTAGTTTTTCCCTTGGTTAGGACGGTGCTAACTATTGTACAATTAGCACGGTAGTCGTTCCCCATTTTGATCAAATCACATTTCCTTCCCTATTTCTCATATTCTCATCTTCTTTAGCTTTCTAGGGTTTCAAGGTAGACCGATGGTAGAGAAAATTCCACAAGTACAAGGGAATCGTATTGCGCTCGACATACCAACAACCCCAAACCCATATAGACTTCTCGGTAAATGGCGCTTATTCGGTGATGACATTTTCTAACCTCTAAAATAGGTTGTCGATCGCTACTTGCCGCTCGTTGTTCACAACGACCTATGTCACTATTCGACCCACCTTAGTAAAATTCCTGGCTACGCCCCTGGGTGCGAGTCTACAAGATGTGTTGGGCTTAACTACATTCAAAATGGGCTTCAGACCTGTTCAGAAGGTGGCAGTATAAACCCACCAGGAAGCACGACCCAGTGAGTTTGGGCCTTTAAACACTTGGCATCACATCTCCAACTCCGACAAAAGAATCCAAAATTCCTTCACCAGACGCTATTGTTTACTTCATACTGCCACCAAAGTACTATTCCAGTTCATCAATCACGCTATTTTAATCAAAAGGCAAAAGGGCAGCCAGCAGAAGAAGAATTTCTCGCGATCTTCAAGAACACAACCACAGGACAGAAGGAAGCCAAAAACATCCCTCACACAATTCAAGGGGAGGTTTTTGGAAGGTAATGGACATGCATGAGATTCATGAGAACGAGACAGACATAGTTCGAGAACCAAAGGAGACACCTTTTTGGTTCATTTGACTCTCGAATTCAATGCCAGCCAATTTGGCCCTATCCCCAAGCCAAAATAGAAGAAAACCCAATTCTGTTCCATTTTTGCTTGGTGGAACACGATTTACTTCTTCCTGGGTTAAATCTAAAGTTTGACTGGTCTCTGTTTCCTTGACTAGCAATAGCATCTTCCAAAATGCAGAATATAAGAAGCGACAAGGAGTGGAAATGAGGTGGCCTTTGTGGGATTCCACCACGTGGCAGAACCCATTTGTGATTTGTCTGTCTATCTGGCCGCTTGGAAGGTTACTGCTTTAAGTCTAGAAGGGCAGGGAGTGGAGTGGAGTGGAGTCGGTAGTGGGGAAGCAAAAGAAACAGTCAACGTCGTTTGGGTAGAAGCCAAATTTAACCCTAAAACGGACTCTGCTCTCTTTTCCCCTACCACGTCTGTGTTCCTCTTCTATCAAAAAACCCCACACATGGATGATGATTGTGTTACAGACCACCTACTAGATTGCTGATTCATGTGGAATCAATAATTGGAGCCCTAGAGAGAGAGTATAAGCTGGTTTAATTGTGGTTCAAAATTTCATACAGTGAAAATTGCTTATTAGTTTGAGATTTGATGTCTCAGTATCGCATTCTCGCTGAACGATAGATTACAGTTTTTTAAAACATCGATTCAAAACCTTCGGCTACAAATCATGACCCTACCTTTTTCAAACAAACAAAACAAAAAAAGACGTAACCAGCTTGCCATCTCTCAGATACATTGAGTTCATCTGCATTTTATATTTGGCATAAATAGATGTTGTTTGTTGTTACCAAACCTTAAACTTGTAAAAGAAGAATACCTTGATCTTAATGGCTAAAATAAGTTGTTTTTAGCCAATGTCTATTTTTTTTTTTTTTATATATACGTGGGAGCTGTATAAGAAGACAAAATCCAGGAACTAGTGTGCAGGATGAGTTCTACAGAAAGACGAAACACCAAATTAGCCGACGCCATGTTGTCTCCAGGATACCAGACCCTGCTTACTGTAATGATGAGAAAGAAACAAATCCAGGGGTCAGTTTCAGTAGAATTGTTTCAAAATAAAAAAAAATTCAGTAGAAGGTTTGCCAACTAATTGTTTCAGTTTTTTAATTTGGGTCTAGAGATGCATTTTGGAAGTCTTCCCCTTGTAGTAGAATTAAAGACAGCCACTGGAACTAACTAACGTGCACAAGATCAGAAATCCCTATTAAGCTTTCCTAAAGACTGATTAAGAGACAGCTATAGCTCTCTGCAATAGAACAGGTGGCTCCTCTGTCAATAAAACCCGATATGCGTTTGATCCCTCAAGATTCTGTCTTGGTGGGGTTTTTTTTTTTTCTTTCCCTTCTTCCTTTCCTTTTAGGGTTACTAATCCTACTCTAGTCTTGTTCGAGTGAAGCTTAACCGTATTCAACTGCCAGTCAATGATATATGTAATGATCATATACGCAGCCCAAAGAGATCAGGGAATTCAGGATCTTGGAAATGACAAACGCAAGGAAAAGAAAGAACATGCATGTGCTTGCTTGAATAAGACTTAAAGGCCATGATTTCAGTCGATATTTCCAGCTAGCTATGATATATGTGCTGTGTTATTAATTAAAACATTATGCCTGAAGCAGAGAGAAGCAAATGGGGGGGAAGCAAGCATAAGAAACGATTTGAGCCAAGTGTAAATCTGTCGGTAAACCTGACCTGAGAGCTGCCAGAGGGGAGGAGGTAGTAGAGCAGAAGAAATGGCAGCTGGAGGCCTCTCTTCCACACGTGCTCACATGGTGGCTCGCAGATCACAACATTAACCCCACCAAGCTTCTGAAGCAGTGCCGAGTAGTACCTGGTATTTTGGTAAGAAGAGAAAGGGGGGAAAGTCATTATAAATTCCATTACTGTGTAAAAAACACATCAGGTAAGAGGTAGGAAGTTAACCCACTGTTTGATTGGGGATTGAGGGAGTACCTGTACCTCCCTTAAACTAGCTAGGAGCCATAAGAGAAAAGGGCAGCAGCCCTACAGAGAAAAAAAAATTTGGGAGTGGAGGTGGGGTGAACAACCCTGCTCACGTGGTCCCTTTTGAAGGGTCAGTATCTGCCAGCTCATTTCCCCCTCTGCCCTTATTTTCACTAACAAGTCAAAGCTTGGTCAAAAACGATTACAGCCCAAAACTATGAATAATGCCATAATCAATCACCCCACATATGGATGGCCTGGCCTGGCCTGCTGCTACCCACCATCCCCACAATAAGCCAGCCAGACCCGCTAGCCCTTTCAGGTTCAGCCTCCTTTTTAGCTGTAAACTTGAAAAAAGATGGAGCTTTTTACTTTTTACCTCTTTCTCAAAGAGTCCTAACCATATTAGAATTATTAAGGCCCAAGATTAGCAACTGTTGCATATGAAAAAAACGGGTTAGTTCTAAAATCCGAGTTACTGTTCATAAACATTATTTGTGGTACTATATAAGATTTGTTTTAAGGGTTGTAATTTTGGAAAGAGATCTAATGGTCCATATAATAAAGGGGTCAAGCAGGGAAATAAGGGATCTAAAAGAGAGCTGACCATATTTTCTGGGCAACGCGCAGATTTTCTGGCGTGTTGTCAAAACACTTTTCAAATTTTATCTGAAAATTCAATGAACCATAACTCATTTGTGGAACGCAAATTTGCAGGTCATAAAACTATCGTTATATCACGATATTATCAGTGATTTTGATATTATATCGTAGTGGTATGATTTGATATGATAGTGCTATGATATTGATATCATGTAATTGTATGATAGTGAAATACTTCTTATTTGTAGTACCCTATAAAACCTTATCTAATAGTTGTAATTTAGGAAATAGAGATCTAATGATGTATATAATAAATGGTCAAAGAGGAAAATAAGGGACCTACAAGAGAGCTGACCGGAATTTTTGGACAATGCGCATATTTTCGGGTGTGTTGTCAGAACACTTTTCAAATTTTCTCCAAATATGCAATGGACCATAGTTCGTTCAATTTTGATAATTTGTTGAACAAAAAAATTTGCAGGTCATAAAACCATTGTTATATCATGATATTATCACTGACTGTGATCAATGGAGGACCCAGGATTGTCGGAGAGGTGTGTCGCCGATATAATACGATAATGATTATAAAATTAAAAATTAATTAATTAAAAATTAATTCATAAATTTCACAATTCATGTTTACAACGAATCACGACGAATTTTCATCAACTGAAATGTCTCTAAAATACATTCATCACTTATGCTGCAAAGCAAATTTTTTCGTATATATACAACTAAACAATCATTTATAAATTGGTCACTCAACCGATTTCTAAGATCGTTCTTGATTATCTTCGTAACTGAAAATACTCTTTTCCATCTTGCAGTTGCAACATATAAAGTCAATACTAACTTCAAAAATAAGTATTCTGGTGGATCCCGACAATGCCCGCTTGGACTTTGGTGGTTTTTTTGTTTCTCCCTTAGTGAAAGAACCAGGCTCAGCACACATGTACGTTGATATGGACATATAGTCTGTGAGTTTTTTTAATAACAATTGATAGGATTATGAGTTATTTTAAACAAATTAAAAAGGAATTATTGTTAATTAAAATTTAAGATTGATTCATTTAAATAATAAAATTCTTCGAGTCTAATGAGGGTGTGTCGGCTATAATTATCGAAGGGTTGTCTGAAGTGCCGAACTTATAATTTTTGCACCGAAAATATGTTGGTCCTTCCGAAATTCTCGGTCCGACACACTCTCCCTTGCCTTAGGTCCGCCCCTGACTGTGATATTATATCATAGTGGTATGATGTTGATATGATATTGGTAAAATTATTTGTATGATAGTGATATGATGTTGATATGAGGTCTTATATGTTAGCCATTATAATTTGATGACTTGATTTTATTATATAGAACATACACTAAAGAAGATTTATTCAACACCATTCTATAACAATTACCTAACTTAATACATTAGCTAAATAATTTGATAACTTAATACATCATAATGTTCATATATAGTGTTATGTTATTGATATGATGTTGGTATGATAGTGATAAGATGTTGGTATGTGGTTTTATGTCAGACAAAATAATTTGATGACTTGATTTTATTATTATACCAGACACTACGAATGATTTATCTAGCACTATTCTAAACAATTACGTAATTTAGACATTAAATAAATCTTACAGAGGGATAGTTATTTTTTATGTATCAATTAAACAAAACGTATAATCTAAGTCTTAATACCTAAGAAAATACACAAATCTTACAGAGAGATAAAAATTTCTATGTGTCAATTAAACAAACATATCACTTCAAATCTTTTGTGATATAGAAAATTTCTAAATTAGTACTAAATTTTTTACTATCTCATCAATTGCTTTACATAAAGGTTTTTAAGGTACATTATTTGTTATATTACATAACAGATTAATCAAATGTGATACTTTTTTACAAATTAATTGACTTATTATTAACCATATTTCTTTGTTATTACCTACCTTATTCATCATCTCATCAATTTGGATTAAACGAATTAAAGCTTCTGTAAGATAACTCAACATTATATAATAGTTGAATCGAATGTGGGATTTGTAACTTGGTTTTATTATTAAACCAAACATTATGGAAGATTACATAACACTGTTCTATAATAGTTATTAAAATAATAAAAGGTTGAAGGGATATTTATTATATATGTAAAACTTATAAAGGTTGAAGGGATAGTTATTTTCTATTGCATCAATTAAACAAACGTTTTACCTGAGTCCTCTGTAATAATTAAGAATAAATATTTTATAACCGCCGCGAAGCGCGGGCCAAAAAACTAGTATCTCTAAATACAGCAGCAATCCTGTTGCTTTCCATATGCCAGCCAGCAATGCTACTGGGCAAAACTGCTACATCTCACAGTACCCCTCCTTCCCTCCAGCCTTTTCTAATTTTGCTTGGTAGTTGGCTTTTCTCCACATGCAAATGAAATATGTGCATGTGTGACATGAACATGGATAATCATAAAGACAAAGACATGAACATGCATGGACTAACATGCATAGCCATAATAAAAAATGGGGGTAAGTAAAAACTACCCACCAAACAGCCATTGACATGGGGGAAATTATTGTACAGAGAGGTCTTTCGTTGTTACTGTCTACCAGGTAAAAGGTACTTTGGTGTTCTCATGGATTTTTCTAGCCGTTGGTTTCAAAACCACACAATCTTACAAAGGTAAACTCCATGCTGGTTTCAAAGAATAAAAAGCTAATTTACAGTTACCCCTAAAAAAGAACTAATTGACAGTAGTTGCAATGGCATATCAGGAGTATTATAAAGGGAGAGAAAGAGAAGAACATTGATGAACACACTGATACACAGTAATTCCGAGAACCTTCGAGGAACCTGTCCAACATTATTTTTCAAAGGAAAAAAAAAAAAAGCTTGGCTCCTCAAACAGAGAGTCAAAACTCAAATGCCTATATTTTATTATGATAAAGGGTGTATGTATATCCAATAGCAAAAGAGTGAAGGAACAGACTGTCTTTGAGAATGGTGCATATATATGTCTGCACATTGCAGAGCTGCTCTGCCATCAGCTATTCAGCTTTCTCTATATTTTAATCATTGATTAAAAAACTTAAGTGATCTTAACTATCACAAATACTCTAAAAAGAGGGGAAATTAGCAGAGGATTAATTAAAAAAATGGGACAGTGTAGCTTCAAAACTGGTCATATCATTGAATGCCCAGTACTGAACATGTCATGACAAAACAACACATCATGGGCATGCATGCAAGAATTCAAAAAAAAAGGAACTTTGAGACCAAAAACATTATAAAAAAAATAAACATAATTCCTAGCACTTTGTTAGCTAGTTTCCTCCCCAGCCTAGATATAAATACAGCCACTCCTTGGTGGGTTTGTAACAGTGCCTGAGGCTGAAGGAGGGTCCCCTGCAGAATTTATTAGAGGCCTTTCATTTGTTTGGTTGGTGTTATATTTCTGTTCCTCCCACCGGCTATTCCTTATTAAAGCTCTCTCGTTCTCATTCCCCACTTTCTTACTTACTTCTGTTGGTTCTGAGATCCCTCCATGGCATGCTTAGAAATGTACAACTCCGACCAGCAGCACAAAGGCCACCATTGCCCGCCAATGAGCCCAAGAATCTCCTTCTCCAATGACTTTGTAGATTCTCAACAGATGATGAGGCAGCAAGAGAGAAGCCCCTTGTCTCACCCTCCTCCAGCTTCATCATCAGACTTCGAATTCTCGGTCACGGGCTACTCCATGATGAGTGCCGACGAGCTCTTCTCCAAAGGCAGGCTGTTGCCCTTCAAGGACAACAACGGCGGCGGCCAAATGCAGAGGACTACTATAAGGGATCAGCTCCTCGTTGACGACGATGGTGATGTTGAAGTTTCGCTCCGGCCACCGAAAGGGTCGTCGTCGTCGCCATCGCCGCGGTGGAAAGGGCTTCTGGGTTTGAGAAGGAGCCACATTGGGTCGAAGAAAGTTGAGAGGGTCAATCATAGTACTACTACTGATCATCAGGCTCCTGTTGGTGAGATCTGTATAAGACCTGGCAGTGGTGGTTTTGTTCATGACCAGGATCATCATCTGGTGCATGTTAGTCAAAGAAGTTCCCAGGTTAGAAGTTTTTTCTTTTTTTTACTGATTGATTTACTTTTTTTTTGTTGTTGTTGGGGTTAAGTGATTGATGTTTGGTGATTGTTTGGATGTGTTGACAGGAGGTTTTGAGTGATGGAGGATCAGGATGCAGGGATATGGAGATTGGAATATAGAGAGGAAGAAGTACTACTGATGAATTGAAGTGAGTAGTACCAGTTTGGAAAAGTTGTTGGCGGAAATGATAGTTTCTGTTTTTTTTCTTTTCTTTCTTTTTCTCATCCATCTTTTTCCCAAGAGAGCTTTATTGTTAGCTGCTTAAATTCGAAGTTATGGTTATCTTTTGTATTCATCTCTGTTCTTTTTTTGCTTCCCCTGTTCTTGGGGAGAGCTTCCACATCTCAGTTCTTCCTAGAAGTTAGAGTCGTCCCATGCTTTTCCTTTTCTTGTACAAAAGTGATTTTTGTAAGTTTCGGAAGTCGGAAAAGTTGATTGAGAAATGAGAATAGATCTGTCTCTGTCCAAACCCTCACTCTAAAAAGAAGCGTTTCGTCTAGCCTTCCAAAGAAACCCACTTTTGACTGGGCATAAAAAAAAACAACTCAGAAAATCAGAAGTGTTGACTGTATTAAGATGGGGTAAATTGGAAGAAGGAAGATACATTTAATATGTGCAGTAGCATGTGAACAGCATAAGATAAGATGTTTGGTTGGCGATTGGCAGGTGGTACTATTATCTATTCAGCAGTCAAAAACCTAGTGAACTAGTCGAACTTTCTTTAAGTTCCTCATAGCCCATGCTGTTAGAGCATTTAAAACTTGTCATTGCATTGCATGCATCTAATAGTTGAGATTGGCTAAATTACACGTTTGGTCACTCTAATTATACAAATTTTTCACATTTGCCACCCGAATTACTTTTCTTTCTTATTCGCAACTAATTTACGAATCGTTTCACCGTAGCCACCGGCCGTCCAATTCCGTTAAAATCATCCTACGTGGCAGTCAACCAAATGCTTTGACCGTTAGTTTGATGATGTGGCCACTAAAAAATATTAATATATATTCTTCAAATTAAATAATAATATAATAAATATTAATTCCTATTCTAATGGCAATTCCTTCCGCCCCTTCTTGATACAGAGCTAGAGCTGATCCAGATCCCGCTCAGTCCCTGAATGGAGCAAATTCAAGAGCGGTGGCAATGCACTCTAAACACTGATCGCTGTCTTTGTGATCGCGAAGAGCCAAGCTTGAACTCGCTTCGGCGGTGTGATCCTGCACTTCGGGAAACCCAGCCTTCAACACATCAATCAACGGTTGGAGAAGCCTCTATCGTACAATCTTCCCCTTTTTTGCTTTTGCAACGAGTGGTTGACTAGAGAAGCGACGGCGTTCACCTGAATGTTCGTGCACCTGGATGAAATTACGGTTCGCAAGGCGGAGAGAATCGTCGGAGTGCAAAGATTGACGGAAGCCTCTTCTTTGGCCCTGGTTTTTTTGCCGGAGAGAAATTGAGGCCTCTTCAATTTCGAACACTGCAAATGTTAAAGGTGAAGAAGAAGAAGAAGAAGAAGAAGAAGAAAGTAAAGAGATCACATTCACTCGCGGGGAGGCCCCAAACGAAATTCCTAATTTGATGTATCTTTAAAACTCTAGCGGGTTCCGCTTAAGTAAAGACAAATCCCATTTTACAGACTAACAGCTTCAGTGAGCAGGTGACCAGAACAAAAATGGCGAGATGCCCTGTTGTCCAATCTTTTCCGCCTTCTCCTGAGTATTCCGCTTATTATAGCAAGCAGAACCACCGAAACCAAAAATGGAAAAAAGGGACACCCACTTAACAATTCTTCTCATTTTGACGATGAGCCTAGTGATTTTGCCTTACCTCCCTTGAAACAACAAAGATTTCAAAATCGAAAGGGAAGAAACAATCTATTCAACCATTAATCTTCCCTTGTTTCAATTCTTCCAGTGATCCCCTGTTTTAGCTTCCTCTGTTTTTCGGCATTTCCCAACTCCTTTAAAAAAAATGCGGCTTTTCACTTCTTCTTGGATGGGTTTCCTGATCACAGCCGCGGTGATTCTTTCCGCCGCCGCCTCTGCTGTTCTCCACTTACAGAGGATGGTTCCTCTGAATTCATCGGTGGTTTCCATGGAGCATCACCGAGACGAAGCGGTGCGTGTGTCGGCAGACGACATGATTGACTTCGCCACGTCGGTCCTGGGGTCGGAGCGTGGAATTGGTAGCAAACTAAAAATGAATTTTTTTTATTTTTATTTTTTAATTTTTTATATTATTTTTTAGTGGCCACATCATCAAACTAACGGTCAAAGCCTTTGGTTGATTGCCACGTAGGATGATTTTAACGGAATTGGACGGCCGGTGGCTACGGTGAAACGATTCGTAAAGTTAGTGGCGAATAAGAAAGAAAAGTAATTCGGGTGGCAAATGTGAAAAATTTGTATAATTAGAGTGACCAAACGTGTAATTTAGCCAGTTGAGATTTGATACTTTTTTTTCATATAAGTGGAAAATTACATTTTAGCACCTAAATTTGTTGTGTCTTACGATTTGATACTTATACTTTTTGAAGTTTTAAAACAAACTCAAGTAAATGGACATCCATAACCAACCCATACTCATTTAGAGTATTCAGTATTCACTCAATACTTATATCCTACCCAAACTCATCTACAAATCTGAGACTCATATATGCTTCACCCAAACCCAACTCATAATAATTAATGGGTTTACTTGGATTAGATAAAATTACCTAGGCTCATCAACATAATAGCATAGTTGGAACTATTCCAGCTAGTACTGAAACCAATAGCTAACCACTATTTGGTCCAGTCCTGAAGAACTCAAGGGCACTGTAACGTTATACTGTTTATAGTCCTAGTCTCGTAGAGCTAAAGTAGTTCAATTTGATTGGAGATGGAAACTAAAAGAGCCAATAAAATGACTTTTGGGTTCGAATGCTTACCTCCACCGTTTTCTTTGTTATGACCACCACCTTTATTTTCTGCAGCAAAAGCTTTCTGATAAGTCTGGCTAATCTACCCCTGAAATCAGCCTCCTCAGCAGTCAAAAGTGTATATACTGGACAGAGTGGCTCCCCATCCATGATGCATCCGATTGAGAAAAAAAGGGCTGATTCTGCTATTAGATAAGTGACAGAATATTAGTCTCAGCTACAGCTAGGGAAAAAATAATAAATATCAAGGGCAAAGATCTCTTACCTTAGCCAGTCTTTGCAGCCTACTGGGAGAAGTACCAGCCGCAGAGTGCATTAACTATCTGCATCTCCAAAACAACAAAAACCTGCTTGTTATGTTTACAGTATGCTGTCACATGAAAACCTGAACAAGCTGAAAATGTAAGGAAGAGCAATTCCAGAAAAATGGCGATACATGGTTCTTCAAATCATTACACGTCTACAAAGATTACAACATTACCCTGCTTACAAACAGGAAGATCATTACAATGTTCTCTCTTCATTTGCTAGGCACATTAACTGTCTACAACATTTAAATTTTGGAAATATTACACCATGTTTATCACACTTTTCTACACTACTGTTGCTTTCCACCTCTGATCTCAAGCAACCGCAAGCCATCCAGAAACCAAACACCTTAGTTTCCGAGTAAGAAAACTACTCCCCTGCACCATAGTGAAAGTATCGCGACTCTCGGTGATGTTTGAATCCATAGTAAAGTTTACCATGGAGCAAGAACCTCCCGGTTAAACCTGACCTCGTATCTTTCAGCTCTTGTTTTCAGATTCTCGACATCAGATCCGTACCTTTCATGCGTTGCTTTCAGTCCTTCAAGCTTTGCTTCTATGTTTCTTATCTCATCTTCAATGTGGAGTCTCTCAGTTCTAGCTTCCATGTACCTTCTTGTTTTTGCAGCATCTTCAGAATCAAAGGCAAGGGTAACAAGGTGTGTTAGCCTAGCACGTAGAAACCCGACATTCATACCGAAAAGCTCAATCGCTTTCAATGTCTTATCCCAGGTAGCAAACTCATCCTGTGAAGTTGAAAGATCGCAACCTCTCATGGCATCAGCAATACTAATGGTTTCAGAAATGACCCCAGCAATCAGCTTGAAATTGAGCCCCTTGATGAGATTTTTATGAAGGAAAGCATTTTGACAGCAACAGAGCTTGTAGTACTTTCTTCGTACGTCTTCAGTTAGTTCAGAATCTAAGACTAACCCTTCGATCACAATGCTAAAGTCCTCAAAGCTTTGGATATCTTCAAACTTAAGTCCAGGAAAGGATAATTTGAAACCTTCCAAGACTTCAGAACCAACTTCTTCGCTGTCGTTTTCAGATTGCCCAGCTGGTGGTTGCCCGTCATGAAATGATGATCTTGGCTTGCTAGGCTTCCTCTTCTTCTTTCGAAGGAAAGATGATTGGGGAACTTTACAGCGCCTTTTCTTGGCACTTTTGCTGGGTACAATGGCCATTACTGCATTTACATTACCCTTTTGTTCCATGAAATCTGCCATCCAAAAACAATACCACTAATCAACAGGAAATTCACTGAGAAAACAGTAACCTTGACGGTATTATAAACTTGCCTGCGCCATTTTGTTTTATATGAGCATCCAAATTCAGTAGACCTAAAGCCCCATCCACTTCGGCCAAATCATTGGACCTTATTATGTAAACCTGCAATTCAGTATAACAATGGTTGTAATCATAAGGCAATTGAATTTTCCAAGAAACAAAGGCCACATAGACTCTCGTCATGTTAATAATACCAATCTTATCATATTTTTTGGAATAAAATCGACCAACTTTGCCAGCTCACCAGCCACAAAGCAGTTACCACAGTCCATCCATAACTTATTCACAACATGTACTTCGATCCCCACATTCCAGTTCTCTCAGCATTATAGACTTATAGTACACAGGTCTAGTTCCTAAAGAGGCAACATAACAGGCAATGACATAATGATCATTGATAAAGTGATCTCCTTCACAGTTTATCATTTTCCCCCTCAAATGTTCCACTATGATCATAAACACATTCCTAAACGGGGCTGCCTGCCCAGAGACTAATAAGATATAGTGGATCCAGTTCTTTGACTCTCAATGGTCTGAAACATGCGGAAGTGTTTAAAGTTTTACTAGGTTTATGCAACATGCCACTACAATATCAGAACACTCAGAGACAAATATCTACCATGCTGGTTGAGAAAGCTATTCTATTGTCTACATATACAACATTTATCATCAATGGCAACCCAAACAAAGAGTGACCAAGAAAAGAACACAAATTATGGAAACTGAAAGGCCTACTCAGAACTCACTTTGAATCTGCAGTTTCCAACTAACTGGAATACTAAAGCATCTCCTTCGAGCAAGTTGTGGGCAACACAGAATTGTCTCCAACCAGCACTCAATCCCGTCTTATATCCAATGTACTTGATGTTGAATTCCTTCCCATCCTCATCTTCCAGAGTAACTGTAGTATCCTCTTGAGGTAAGTTTGCTCTACAAAAAGGCCCAGGAAGACCCTGTCACAGAAACACACACTCATGTCACATTAACAGACCTGTGATTCTCCAACAAAGCTACTAGTCAAATAAAAACACCATGCTCACTGAGCATACCATCCAAAAGCAACTTCCGACGTGTGATCTGACTAAAGCTTTCAGAAAGCTAGGAAATTCAGGTTCCAAATTTGATTGAATTTCTTCAGCACGAATCAGAGCTGGTGACTTGACTTCCTTAGGAGTGCTCAGCACATCCGTCCTAGCCTCATGTTGCCCACAACTTCAAGAAGCATTGTCAACATTCAGTGTGATTCCAAATGCCGGATAGATGAATTAACATAGTCAAAAATGAAAAACATACTGTTTTTTGGCTCGCACTGACCTTATGCACTTCCCTGCATGACTGGACATTGCCTGCTCAACAATCAGTTAAAAGTTCCCGTCATTAGAAGGATAAAACATTCACAAGCAGATGGAAAAAAGTTCGTTGTACAGAATAGTAAACAGCTAAATATGCTATCATACGATACGAGTAAGTCAGACAGCAAAGATAAAGGATAGGAGAGACTTAAGCATGCAACAATTAAGTCCCCCCAAACAAGATCCGGAGCCACTCCTAGAAAGAGTTTCACTTCAGCACCCGGAAAATGAATATGCATAAGGAGTCGCACTCTAGGAGCTTGTTAATACAAACCACTTAGATCTACCCTCGAGACTTGGATCAGATTGTGATCATCTTGAGAAACGACCTCTTGGGAAAAACAAAACCCCATACGTCTTCAACCAAAGTCTTAACAAAGAATACAGTACGCAAGAAGTAGAGTGTAGCTCTCGGAAACCCTTGTCGACATCGCATTCATCAGAGACGAGCAAGAATACCTAATCTCAGCATAAGAACTTACCTGACGACAAGGAAAGGGAGGAATAATGAACTCTTACATGATCAATTTTGGAATCGGAACAGGAGAGCTTGATCTTCAAACGCCTCTTTCTCTTTTCAATCGGAATGTCCAGCGGCACCTGGCAAAAAGCAAGAAGTCGCAAAATGACGCCTAAGTCAGTTCGTACTGCAGACGCCAAACCTCTACAGAAAACGGAATCAAACGCCAGAATCCCGCATTTCGAGACTCGAACTAAAATCCGGACAGCAGGAAGTTAACAGGCTGCTTGAAACTGGAAAGGAAATGAGCACAAGAAGAAGAAACACTGAGATCTGATTCCATCTGAACTTCCACCCATCCCCTTTCCCGCCGTCGGCCGATGGTTTCCAGAGTTACCGAACTGGACAGGAGGACCGGAGATACGAGGCCCAAAAAGGAAGCAAGAGCGTGGGTGTACCGAGATCGGAATAAGGTCGGTGTTGGGGTTAGCGTAAGCAGAGTCAGGAGAGAGAGACAGTCTAGTGAGAGTAGCAGCGTCGTCTTCACCGGCGGATTTGGAGTCGTCATGCGGCATCGGAGAAGCTCTGCTCGAATCTCCGTCTTCCACTTCCTTCTTCACGGTTTCGCCCATGGCTTTATTTGCTCCGAGGAAGTGAGACTGCTGCTTGCTGCTTCCAGGCACGAAAACCTCAGGAAAAATGCGAAACGGAAGAACGGGGGGAAAGAAAGACCCTGGAGGAAAAAAAGCAACTCAACGCAAAACACGAAAGGTAATACAGGGGAAAAAGACGAAAATTAAAAGGAAAAAAAAAAACAAAATTGTAGTACGACGGGAATTAGGAGTGTTTAATACGGTAATCAAAATTGACCGTTTAACTGTTAAACCACGAAAATTTTAAAAAACAATATGTTTGCAGGTTGGTGAATTTCGGTTGGGCTATCATGATTCATGAGCCCGGTATCACTTTACTTGGGCTACCGTGACCTTGACGGTGGGCCCTGAGTTCTTCCACCCTAAATCCCTAATATGTAGGGCGCGTTTGCAAACTAGGGTAAAAAACTGTTTGGTTTAAGAATTTTTTTTCCATAAATACCATTATTTTAAAAAAATTACAAATATACTATCCAAATTGGAAATATTCGAAATCTACCACCGTTATTTGAAAACCGTCACATGAAGAGGCGGTTTGCTTATGAACCGCAAAGTGAGGTCGCAGTTTGTGGGAGAACCGCATGGTGAAGTAGCGGTTTAAATTATTTGAACAAACGAAACCCCTGGAGAGGCGGTTAATTGGATGCCCTAGAACAAACCGCCTCTTGATGGAGCGGTTCTATGTCAACAATAGAAACCGCTCCTTCAACAGGCGGTTTATTGTGTCGACACACAAACAGCTCCCTCGCCCAGCGGTTAGTGTGTCGTCCCATTCCCCCGACATACGACATGTCGACATGCAGGGGGTGTAGACGTGGGGGTTGCATGCCAGACTAAAATCGCACCCTCCCCCGGCGGTTTTCCGTCTAAATTTTGCTATAAAAGGCAGCTCCAAAAACCCCGGCTCTTCACCCCTCTCCTTATTCTTCTTCAAATTTATGTTGTGCACCTTACTTTTTTGAGTTTTTGCGATTAACGTTACTTCGTAAGTTTATTTTGTATTTATTTTTATTGTGATTCAATGTATTAATTTAGTAACGATTTTATTGCAAATGACATTTCAAAAGTTCAAACTTGGGTTACGGTGGAATGGTTATACGGAAGAGACCGGAAAGGGGGTACGTTACGTCAGTGTTAATTTTCATAAAGTGAAAATCGCTACGAGACCGAACCTTGAAGAGCTCCGTCAAATGTGTATTGAGGTTACTTGAATGTATGGCACGAGAAGAGTTGATCGTATGGTGTATCGATATCCAAACAGACATGGCGGGTTGTTGTGGTATGAGGAATTCCTCCAAACCAATCAGGATGACGTAGATGACATGGTCGAATTTTTGATCGCCAATAACATTAAATAAGCAGAGATTTTCGTTTACATCGAGGAGGTCGAAGGCATTGGAGTTCATTTTGGAGATGGCCAAACATTTGGTATCCACGGTGGAGGTGGACTGTACGAAGATCATCCCTACCAAGGTTACCATTATCCTCGTACCTACCATGAGTACCAGGAAGGAGATGGAGATCATCATCAATCCTTCCCATCATATGAAGAAGAAGCCCAATGGTATCATGACAACCAACAAGAAGGCCACCAGTACCAACTCGAGTACAACTTCCACCAAGGCAACGGTAGTTATCACAACTACCATCACAGAGCTGATGAAGGTGCCTTTCATGACATGGATCAGATGGACGATGCCCTGCTTTTTCCAGTTAGTGACCTTGAGGATGAAGAAGAGGAAGGCGAGATTAGTGCAAACAGCTCTGACCCTCTTGAAGGTGCTGATGATTCAGACGCAGATGATGATGAGTTGTCTCATCACCGTGTACCTATCTCATACTACAATCACATTCCAAATGAAAATTGGTATGTTGATGCCGACATGGAGCCACCAGGGGTGCCAGTATGGGGTCCACTCACTGGTTTTACGAAGGGCCAACAATTTGGTACAAAAAATGAGGTGCGGCATGCTATTGTCACTGAAGCAATGACTCGGAGTTTTGAATGGCACATAACCCATTCCGACACAAAGAGGCTCATTGTTAGATGTCAAAATCACAACTGATTGTGATAAAACAAAACTTGAAATAAACACAACTTGTTTAACTTAAATAAAACCCTCAAAGAAGACAGACTCATGAATTTACTCGCCGATCCACCCTCTGCCTCCTTGTTCGATGGGTGACATGACCAGTACCGGTGTAACAATGGCTGGAGGTGGTGGCACATAGATCGAGCTGAAGTGGTAGGGCACTGGTCTGTGCTATGTCACCGGTCCGTGCTAGGTGGCTCCTTCTTGTGCGAATGGCTCCCATCCACGCTCATACGGTGGGAGTGATAGGCCATTGATGCTAGGGTCGATGCAAAGACTGGAAGCCTTGGTGGACACTCGAGGAGGAACCATCATGCCAAGTAGCCGAGGATGTATCGTCGTGGTATGTACTCGGTCGGGGCTCGTACTGAAAACTCGGTTGGGGGTCATAGTAAGTACTCTGGTCGTAGGAGGTACTCAGTCGGGGATCGTAGTGAAAACTTTACATGGTGCAGAAGAGTCCACACACAAAACATCGCCATTGATGAGCAAATCGGTTAGGATGGCGATGTTCTTCACTGTGATGGTGCACTCGCCTTCAAGAAAGTTGAAGCAATGTGTCTCCTTTCGTCATCTCTCCACCAATGTTGTGATGAGTTGGCGGTCGATCTTTATCCCATTAAAGTTCCTAATCGAATTCAAATTCTCCCTTCTTAGAAATGGCAAGATGACGTCGTTCCATGGGAGTAAATTGCTTGTACCCCTATAGCGGACTATATGGTATGCATCCTAGCGAATAATTTAACTTTCACCATAAGTTTATGATTTATAAATATAGAAAATCTATTATAACAAGCAATATCAATTAACAAATCAAGGTTTATTCCAAGATATATACATAATTTCGTAAAAAAAACATATCAAGCATACTAAAAAAATTAACTAAAATGAATAGCATTTTCAAAATTTAAATAAAATTAATGTTGTACGCATACACATAAAATCAATTATATTATTTTGTAATTTCTATTGGTTGTTTTCAATAATTTAAAACAATATAAGTACACTCGCTAGACTCTTAGAAGAGATATACATCTCCTTAGAAACACAGTTTTTTGACAGAAAAATGGGGGATCCGAGGATCGCTTAGAACCTATTTTTCCAGGAAGGGAGGATAATGATGATCGCTTAAGACCCCATTTCCTTAGGCATGCATCTTTTTATAAAGAGTCTAAATAATTAGCACATTGTATTGTTTTAAATAATTGAAAATAATCAATACGATTAACAAATTTATTTTACAAACCACTAAACTTACGTTAACAAAATAAAAAATGAAAATGATGATAAATTATATGTACCTTGTGATCGTTTCAAACATCCCTTGAACGATGATTATATTAATCGTATAGCATGGATGGATCAATCGGTCCTTGATCAACATAATATCTTTGATTGTAGATATCAACGTCCTCCTCAACCTCCGATAGCATAACAACAACATGATAGACCGTTAATTACACATGTTTTTACCCCTGTTCTTACACCGTTTGAGATGTGGTTTCTCGTGTTTTAGACCGATTTCACGCTAGGTTGTGCTTGTTTGTGATATTTCAGGTCCTGGCAAGTGAATGAAGGTTTAGGAGCGAGCTCGGGGTCGATTGGGCGAAGATCGGGCGCGAGGCAAGTCACAAAGGAGGCCACACGGGCACACCCACAAATCACACGGCCGTGCAACTCATATTTCTGGCCGTGTGAGATTGTGCGAGAGCAAACACGGCCTGCCCTGACAACACACACGGCCGTGTGAAGGAGTGGCTTGGCCGTGCGAGTTTTGCCGAGAGCAAACACGGGCAGATGGAAATCACACACGGCCGTGCCACTCTGGCCGTGTGAGAAGCCTGGAATTCGACTAAGTGATACGGTGCGTTTTGCCTCACACAGGCAAGTGGGTAGGCCACACGGCCGTGTGGCCCTGCCTGTGTGAGTCGGGATTTCCTGGTTTTAAGCCAATTCCGCTCTTGAAGGCACCTGTTCCTGCACCGCCTTGAGTATCCACCATGGGCGTCCAGCTAAAAGACGGTAAAGAAGCGCTGGTGGGGAGGCAACCCCACCACGGTTTGATTTTTCTTTTTGTGTTTTGAGTCGGATTGTAACCCGGTTTGGGTTTGGTTTGTTTTCTTTTGGTTTGGATGATATTTTATTGGGCTGACCATTGACCCTAACATATTGTGTTTGAGCTCTTCTGTTTCCCTTTGGCTGTGCTTGCCCCGACTGGCCCGTTTCCAGTCTCCTGCAGTCCGTGCATGCCGGTAACATCGTTCCCTTATCCTTCCCTCTTCTCCATTGCGGGCAATGTCGATCTTAAGTGTGGGGGGGGGGGGGGTGTTTATCTTTTGACTGCATTAGATCTATTTGTGTGCTTGGAGCCTAGTCCACTATCCAAATTTTTCAATTTGAGGGCTCCAAGTACGTGTTTCCTTGCAATTGCCTGCTCAGTATGCTTTGAATTGACAGTCTTTTTAGTAATATGCAACCTAGGGAGGTAGTGTAGCACTATGGAGGATGTTGATGCATTTAAGAAGTCTCATTTCTTCTTCATATTGAGTTGGTTGATTGAGTGAATTAGTGATCTTAGGACCCTTGAATTGTGTGGTGTTGTGGATTCTCTACCTGTCATGGACTCTTGTATCATGTTTTAAGTTTAACAGGTGCTCGAAAATGTGCTTCAAAATAACGTCTCCCGTGCGAATAGGGCGAAAGTGTGTAAGGGGAGACGGGAATCCGTTCCCAATTTCCACCTACTACCTCCAGCCCCCTTACATGTCTTTCCCCCGCACGAGGCTCGAGACATCCGCTCCTGGCATGGCCGGTAAGAGCAGGTTGGGACCCTTGGAAAAAAAAAAAGAAAAAAATAACATAAAACCAGCAAAACAGAAAGAAAAGGGGTTCCAACCATCTTCAAGAAGAAAAAAAGAGAGCATCTTGAAAAATGTGAGTCCATGATCTTTTGTTTTTGAGAATCTCTTCATCCACAATTCATTTGTCCTCTGTTCACTGTTTGCCATGATGCCGACTCGCCGAAGAAGTTATGAGATGACGTGTGCGTTGGTTGACCTTGTAAGTTGCTAAATGATCTAGGAAGTCCTCTACCTACGATCTGGGTTGTTTGTTGCTATAGAGGTCTGGAGAGCTGCATTGGTTCGAGTTAGGTTTGCTTGGGGACAAGCAAACGGTTAAGTGTGGGGGAGTTTGATAGACCGTTAATTACACATGTTTTTACCCCTGTTCTTACACCGTTTGAGATGTGGTTTCTCGTGTTTTAGACCGATTTCACGCTAGGTTGTGCTTGTTTGTGATATTTCAGGTCCTGGCAAGTGAATGAAGGTTTAGGAGCGAGCTCGGGGTCGATTGGGCGAAGATCGGGCGCGAGGCAAGTCACAAAGGAGGCCACACGGGCACACCCACAAATCACACGGCCGTGCAACTCATATTTCTGGCCGTGTGAGATTGTGCGAGAGCAAACACGGCCTGCCCTGACAACACACACGGCCGTGTGAAGGAGTGGCTTGGCCGTGCGAGTTTTGCCGAGAGCAAACACGGGCAGATGGAAGTCACACACGGCCGTGCCACTCTGGCCGTGTGAGAAGCCTGGAATTCGACTAAGTGATACGGTGCGTTTTGCCTCACACGGGCAACTGGGTAGGCCACACGGCCGTGTGGCCCTGCCCTTGTGAGTCGGGATTTCCTGGTTTTAAGCCAAATTCCGAACCAAAGAGGAGGAGAGCTGGGTTTTTGGATCCCAAACACCCAAGGGACGAACCAAAGAGAGAGAGGGCGATTTGAGGGCATTCTTGGAGTAGAGAAGGAGGATTTCTTCGCCTTGGAAGCTTGAGGAACAAGCCCGGACTTGAAGACTGATCATCTGAAGATTCTTACTGCAGTCTCTCTCTTCTCTATGGAGTAACTTCCCTTTACTTAGGTTTTGAGGAACCCTAGCTATGTTAGTTTGATTGGATGATTGTATGAGTACTCTGACTTGATAATCTTGAGTTCATATTCAATCTATGCATGTTTTCATGATTCAATTCTGCTTTAGTCGAGATTATTGATTCTGCTTTGATTCTATGAGAAGGAATACCTGATTAGGTCAATAGAGCACCATAGATTGATAGTAGTGGATCGATTGCTTTAGTCGAGGGTTGATTCACTGCTTTGTATCGATTGAGAACCCCTTTCGATAGAGGGAGTCTAGTTCAAAACGCCTTGATCAGTTGTTCTAGAGAAGGATACGTCCCTCTAGGCAATTGACTCAAGAGGGCCTTGTTCCTTTAGTCGAGACTCAAGGTCTAGTCAAGGATTCTCCGCATTGTGAATGAAAGTGAAACAGGTTAGAGATCATCAATCGTTAATCTGGCTAGTGGCTAGGGGGAATCATACCTAAGTGAGTTCCCAACCTGTAATTAGATTAACTTTAATTGTAGTTTGCTAGAGTAGTTTTAGTTCTTTCATCTTAATCTGATTTGCTAAATAATAAACTGAAGCTGAGTAATAGTAACTCTAGAGACCCGTGGATTCGATATTTATCACTTGAGCCACTATACTGCAGTCCCTTTCATTGGTTACACTTGGCCTTTGTTAGGTGTTGTGTTTTAGAGCATCACAACACAATTTAATTATTGTATAGATTACATAAAATAATTAGGGTAAATGCTATTTTTTAGCCAAATCTTTTCTCCATTTCTTAATATTAGCCAAAACTATCGTAATACGAATTATTAGCCAAACGTTAATTATCCGTTACCATCTCCGTTAGAATTGTTGACTAGGCACGACAATACTGAGTTGGCATCCAGGAGGCGATCAATTTTGGTTTTAATTTTAAACCTAAAAAATAATGATTTTAGAAAAAGAAAAGGAAAAATAAACCCCCCAGTCCCGACTTATCACCTCCCTCCTCCGATCTATTCTCTATTCCCTCATCTTCGCCCGACGATCTCCCTTCACCATTTTCGGCAGGCGAGACAGCGAAATCTGTCGTCGCTTGTTAACCACCACGATCATTGCACCTCATTTATTCCAAAAGTCTGACGTTGATATCCATTTCTGTGTTTCGAACTACCGTGATCGATGTCCGATGAGAAGCCAACTGAAGACGAAGAGAGAGGGACAGTTCAATCAGAGTCCAATCTTTGGCCGAGAAATCTTCAAGCAAGGTAAGGTTGTTCCAGTTTTTCTATTCAAACCCTATCCCTTTTGGAATATTTTGTTTGAGTACAAAATCATTTCTTCAAAATCGAACATTTTCTGTAATTTTAGGGTTTCTCAATTTGAAGTGGATAATATACATGGATTGAGAATCGATAAGTTCAATTCAGTTTCTTAGATTGAGAATAAAAAACCGAACCCAAATTATGCCTTGATTTGCTTCTTGTTTCTTGGGTGCTTCTGTTGCATCTTGGTTTCTCGATGCTTGCCATTTTATTGTCTATTGGTTCCGTATGCAGATGCCGAAGGGAAAAGACGATTGCGACGAGGCTCAACGACGGTGACGGCGAGGCTCAACGATGGCGTCAGCGAGGCTCAACGACGGCGATGCTCAACTACAGTAGTGGCGAAGCTTTGCACGGCGGCGACGATGGCAGAAAATCGATTCGTGGGTTTAAAAGAGAAGAGGAGGAATTAAAAATCAAAAGCAAAAAATAATAAAAGACCAAATTTTAATGTTATCCCCGATTCGCTGGTGGTCCATGGTACCGATCTTGGATTGGATCATAGAGCCTGATTGTGGCTGATAAACCTTTCGCCTGTACGGTTAAAAGATTGTTTCGCTTTGATGCTAGGTGGGCAGACAATGTGGAGGTTCACCCGATGGTGGAGAGTGTGTGGAATGAACCGGTCCAGGGGTCGGAGATGTACCAGTTGTGGGTTCGGCTCAAAAAATTGTGACATCTTCTTTTCCAATGGAGCAAGACTGGGACTACCAATTCCGAAAGGCAGATTCGTGTCCTACAGGCCGAGATTGGGGCTTTGAAGGAGGAATCCTCGGTGAATTGGGATTGGATCAATCAATTGTAGCGAGAACTCACCTTGCAATGGGCTGTGGAAGAAATGCATCGGAAACAAAAGTCAAGGGTGCATTGGTTAAGGACAGGGGATCAAAACTCATCGTATTTTCATAAGGTGACCCGGGCAAGGAGACAACGGAACTTTGTGGACAAGCTACAGCGGGAGGATGGCACCTGGGCTACAGAAGAACCGGAGAAGGCGGAGGTGGCAGTGGGATTTTACGAGAATTTGTTCACTGCTGAGGCAGATGTCCGGGGAATCCAGGATTGGGTTGCTGCTATCCCGTTGGAAGCAAAAGTCACTAATCAAATGAATGGTGCCCTGGTGGCAGATGTTACGGAGGAGGAGATACGAAAGACGCTCTTTCGTATGGGTTCGTCACAGGCGGCGGGGTCTGATGGATTTACTGGAAAAATTTTCAAATTTTTTTGGGATATAGTAGGGGAGTCGGTGGTCTCTGTTGTGCGCTCATTCTTTTAGAGTGGGCATATCTTACACAGCTTTAACCATACATGGATTACCTTGATTCCGAAGGTTGAGAATGTCGAGACTATGCGTCAGTTACGACCCATTAGTTTGTGCCAATTTGTTTATAAGGTAATTACCAAAATCATGGCGGAGAGAATGGCGATATTCCTACCTCAAATTGTGTCCTCTTGACAGAATGGTTTCATTCGGAAACGCCAGATTGTGGATAATATATTAATTGGGCATGAGCTTATGCACTACCTCAAGAATAAAATAATGGGTAAGAAAGGCTTTATGGCCTTAAAGGTGGATATGGAGAAAGCCTATGAAAGGGTCGAATGGCCTTTCTTGCTGGCAGTTCTTGAAAAATTGGGGTTTAGTCAAGTTTGGATTCGGTGGGTGCAGGAGTGTATCTCCACGGCATCATTTTCGGTCATGATGAACGATAGCCGATCCGGGTTTTTTCGGTCCACGAGAGGGTTGCGGCAGGGGGATCCTATATCGCCCCTGCTCTTTGTAATATGTACGGAAGGGTTATCTGCTTTGCTGCATCAGGCTATTGACCCGAAGAGACTAGAAGGGGTACGAGTGAGCCCCCGAGCGCCCCGGGTATCTCATCTTCTCTTTGCGATGATTCCTACCTCTTTTTGCGAGGCTCTCCTCAGGATTGTCACAATGTGATGGCGGTGCTCAATAATTATGAGTCTTTGAGTGGAGAAAAGGTTAATCTGGCTAAATCAGTTGTGTGCTTTAGTTGGAACATTGATGTAGCTGATCAGGAGGTCATGAGTCGTTGCTTGGGGATTGGCGCGATTGGGGTCCATGATAAGTACTTGGGACTCCCTACATTGATGGCTCAGTCGAAGTCCGATACCTTCCGTTTCTTGAAGGAGAAGCTGCTTGAGAGGATTAAGGGATGGAAGCAGCGACATTTGTCGTGGGCGGCGAAGGAGACTCTTCTAAAAGCAGTGGCGGACTGGAGGGGGCCTTGCCAGTCCATGGGATGTCGTGTTTTAAATTACCGTTGACACTTTGTTGGAGGATGGATAAGCATATGGCTAGATTCTGGTGGGGATCCTCGGGGGGTCGGTCGGGCATTCCATGGGTGTCGTGGCGTCGCCTTTGTCGCATTAAGCACGAGGTGGAATGGGGTTCCGGCGTTTTGAGGATTTTAATAAGGATTTATTAGCTAAAGTGTTGTGGCGAATTCTTGATGAACCAGATTCTTTACTGGCCCAAGTTTTTTGTGGGAAATATTTCCCTAAGGGGTCTATCTTGTTGGCTAAGTTGGGCTCTCATCGCTCGTGGGCTTGACACAGCATTCTCCATGTGACCCGCTTGTTGATGAAAGGGTTGGGGTGCCAGGTCGGGTCCAGGGAATCAATTCCCATAATGTCGAGCGGATGGAATTCTAAAATATTTTCGCGATTTCCGGAGTTGCGGGCTGGGGATCTTTTACTTGGTGGAGAGTGTGTAGTATCACTAATTGATCAGGAGACACGTACTTGGTGTCATGATTGCCTAATGATGACATTTAGTATGGACACGGTGCATGCTATCCTCCAAGTTTCGATTTCGCGCACTCCTAGTGAGTGATATGATCCAAGTTGCGCAATTAAACACCAATCAATTGATGGCCAAAGGATCAATCAACGTTGGGGGTGAAAAATGGACGAATTTGGCTAAGTGTTTGGGTTGTGTCGTGGTGCCTACTTTACAGGTTCGTATCGTACTTTCTAATTGATGGAAATACGAGAGGAAGAGTGGGAAGTGAAGAGCAAGTGTTTGTTTATCATTCTGGATGGTTGTTTGCACAAGGTCGAGTCTCTAAGTCCCTGAACGAGAAGTGCCAAGTTGCTATGGAAAAACTGGAAGATTGCCTACTTTTGGCTAAGTCTGGAAGCAGGTTGAGCTACCATCTTTGGATGCTTATTCAATTCAAATGGAGGATCGTCGATGGGCAAAAAGAGTTGGAAATTGAACAACAAGAGTAGGAGAACAAACGACTGAAGGCCGTTTAGGACGAATCTCCCCGGAAGACCACGATCGAGAGCTCCAAAGATGCTATGGAGTGCGACTTGATTGCTTGCGCAGGAAGGCAACATCTGGTGTGGGAAGAAAGTAGTTTTTTTTCCTTTTCAAAGTAGCAGTTTGTTTCCTTGTTAAGTTAGTCTTAGATCACAAATTCCTTGTTAGTTTAGAGTTAGGTTTAGTTTGTTTCTATCTATATAAGGGCTCTTAAGCTCGTGTAAGGAAGGACAGTTGAGTTGAATGAAAAACGCGACCCTTGTCACAAAAACCTTTCGTGTGTTGGCTTTCCAGCAACGAGGATTGCTTCGTATCAATTAAAACCACATCAATCATGGCCGAGCTTCGATCTAAAACCAATCGAGCCTCTTCCCAAGTGAGAAGTTGCACCTTTGGACCCGTTTTACGTTTTAAGTTTATTCGAAATTCAATATCTTCTTCGAGGAGATTGGGCTGCGTAATTTGATCTCCAAAACCAGCACATTCGTGCTTGTATCAAGTGGCATAAGAGCCTTGGTTCAACACAGTGGAATCGACGCGTTGGACAAGGTCTAAAGGACCTAGTTCAGAAGACCCTGCCACTCGATGACAAGCGGAGGAGTCTGCCTCCGTCGAGGAGAATCAGGGAGACGACACCACAATGGCAGGACAGTTTAACACAACAGAGTTTCTACAGACGATCTTGGCGCAAATAGGGACGCTTTTTCAAGCGCAATTCAACAAAATCAAGCGTCAATTCGAGCAGCAAGGGCAACGGCTTGATGCTCTGTCTGCGAACGTAATACAGGGTAATGCGCGCCCTCTGGCGGCAGAGGTTAATAACAGCGACACCGATAATGACAATCGCAAATTAATCGCGCGAATTGAGGAGTTGGAGAAGCTGTTGGTGGTGACTGACCCTGAGCAAGGCAGACGGCGACGAGGAAGACCCCCTGAAACGGAGTCAACCATACCGACAGGGATCAAAATGGTTGTTCCTTAATTTCAGGGAACTTTGAATCCTGCGGCGTACTTGGACTGGGAGAGGAAAATCATCCTCTTCTTCCAGTGCGGGCAGTTCACGGAACAACAGAAGGTAGCCATGGCCACCTACGAGTTCTCTGACTATGCTGCCCAGTGGTGGGAGCAACCACAATTACGTCGCCGACGAAATGTGAAAACTCCGGTAGACACATGGGATGAACTACAGGGACTAATGAGGGAACGATTTGTTCCAGGATACTACCAACGGGAACTTCACGAGTCGTTGCAGGGAATTCAACAAGGCTCGCGTAGTGTCGAATAGTATTTTCGAGAATTGGAGATTTTGATGATGAGGGCCGATGTCCGAGAAGATAAGGAAGCCACCGTGGCGCGATTTTTCCATGGGTTAAATCATGACATTCATCACGAGATTGAGCTCAGGTCATTCATCGATTTGGAGGAGGCAGTTCATTTGGCAATAAAAATTGAAAAGCAGCAGAGGCGGCCATTGAAGTGACGAAGCTCGACAATGTCAAGCCCACTCCACGGAATTCGGCACCAGCGCCGTCTGAGCGAGTTGGGGTTTCTAGTGGCTGCATCCAGTGCTTCAAGTTCCACGTGCCCAAACTTGAATACGTTGATCCTTCGAGATGGGAAGTTTGTGTCTGATGACGAAACCAGAGGTTCCGATGCGCAACGCGAGTCATCAGGGGAACAAGTAGATGATGAGTTTGTTGCAGAATCTGGTCCTTTCCTGTCAGGAATGAATTTACGCGCATTGGTAGTAGATGATGAAGCCAGCAACGACCAGAGAACCAATATGTTCCACACCAGGTGTCTCGTTAATGGCAAGTGCTTGTCGGTGGTCGTTGATGGATGGAGTTGTACTAACGTGATCAGTCTTGATGCCATCAAAATGCTAGGGCTCGAGACAATTAAGCACCCCGAACCATACAGTTTACATTGATTGAATGATTATGGGGCTATCAAGGTGACCAGACAAGCTCGAGTTGCGTTTGAAATTGGCGGCTACAAGGACGAGCTAGTTTGTGATGTTGCACCGATGCAAGCAGCCCATCTTTTGCTTGGCCGAACTTGGCAGTACGATCGAGCTGTAACTCATGACGGAGGGTCCAATTGCTCAAACCATTATCGCCATCCGAGGTTCGCTCCGATCA